ATAACTAGTTTCCCATAGAAATACAGTAGATTCCAGCCATTTATTTGGGACAAATCTTAAAGAACAAACCTTGTTAACTATTTGCTTGGAACTTCGCATAATTGGGGCAGCCGCTTAACTGGGCTAAAGTGTTCTAGTCCTGATGTGTCCCAATTAACCAGAATCCACTGTACATGAAGATAGACACGAACATTCAGAGGAATTTTTGTGTGTGTGGGAATCAGTCTGTGTGTGTGTATGCAGACATGTGTAGACGGTTCTTAACTTGTGCCTTACCTCAAATGTAAGCAGGGTTTGAACAGAACCCAATATAACTTCTCTATATAAAATAGCATCATTGCCACAGCAGTCAAAGCACATATATTTACCTTGACTGAGACACAGCATTTATTTTTTTGAAATTATAAACAAAACTTACATAAAATGACTACAACTTCAACAATGATGTCTACAGTTAAAAATATTTAGTGGATGTGCTGATGACATGACACAGCTATTCCACGTTGCACAATAAATGTCTTGGATGCCACACTATTTTTTTGTCATAGCAGTACAACCACCAAATAGCCTCACTGTACTTAGCAGTTATAAAGCTATTGCTGTCTTTCATCCTACCTTAAACTTACAATTAAAGGAAAAAGGAAGGAAATTTTTACATGCAATTATGTTTATCACATACTCTTATTAACAGAAAGTACTTGAACAGATAATCTGTGCAGAAGAGAAAAATTTGCAGTGCCTATTTCTCACCCTTAATAGCAACAGACATCCTTCGTGGGCTTGGCTCTGGAGTAGAGAACTGAGTACGAAATACAGCAAAGCTCTTGGGTAGCCTGGGTACAGAAATGTCCTTCTCAGAGTCACCTTCACTTAGGTCACCAGCATCTACATGCAACAACCTGCCTCCACAAAATTCCGTCAGCTCCATTAAATCTAAACAGAAGAAGTGCAACATACATAATGAAGGAAAGGTAACCAAAAATATCAAAGCAAGTGAAGTACTGAGAAGAATATCTGGGCCTGATAAACAACTAAATGAGAACAGAGAAAGAAGCAAGCTTAATCTGGTTTACGGTCTTTCACCACCATGAAAATCTCCAACCTCTCAAACGTAATATTGGTAATTATTCCTTCATATAAGTACGGAAGGTCATTACATCAAGAAGTCTGAAATGGTAACCCATTAATGTCACACAACTGTCACTGAAAATATACAAATATACACAAATCATTCAATTCTAAAGTTTACACTTAAAATTATTCATTGTCAGGACTTTTTCCATCCTCTGTTCTTTAAAACCTTGACGTTTCGGAGGCTGGTTCTTTCACCATCTTCAGGTGGCAGGTACCTACTCTGTTGGGTCCCTTAGATAGAGCTAGTCTCTGTCTATCTAAGGGACCCAACAGAGTAGGTATCTCTCACCTGAAGACGGAGACAGAACCAGCCTGCGAAAGGTTGAGGTTTTAAAGAACAGACGATGCAAAAAGTCCTGACAATGAATAATTTAAATACATAGATCAACTTCCCTGAGGCCTAAAGTTAAACCAATGTGTTACACTGTGGTTGCAGAGATGATAGGTCAACAACCCATGCACAATAATGTTCACATTAAAAGAGCTAAAAAATGGAAATCCAAAATAATAGAAATAAAAAATAAACAAATATGTTAACAACATCCAGCAATCATAAGTGATCAGTATCATGAAACCTATATATGTTGATCTCAAAATAATTTTATAAGGACTGTTACATGTTTGGGGTACCAGAATATACCTGACAAGCACAAAAAGCTGCACAGATGTCAACTACCAAAGGAGGAATTATTTCATCTTATGACAGTAAATGAAATAACACCAATAGAAAAAATAATAATATGTAAAAGATTAATAAGCTATACTGAATAACATTTAGGCAATCATGGAAATGGAATATAAACAGAGGGAACAAATGAAAAATATGATTTCTTTCATAACAAATATCTCAAAGATATGAACAGTGTTGTGTATGTCACACTCATCTGTAACTGCTATTACTGAAACACCTAGATGGAGCAAAATGCTTCAGTCCCTACATACATAAAGATGTCAACTGGACTTAAATGTTTCAGTATAGTGTCACCTTATGGTTCCACAACAAAGAAGAACCTCTTCATCAGCTGAAAAAACTATCTAGTGCTCAAAATACAGCCAGTAACATATTCCTTCAGAACTGTGATATTATATACATAAAAACAAAGAGAGAGATATCCTTCTCATATACAGGTTCATCAGACCAAAGGTACATCTGCTACTTCACAAAACACCATCTTAAATTACAAAAATACTTACCAGGTTCCAAACTCCCTTCATCTTCCATAAAGAAGGATGCCTTCATCAGCTGAACTTTGTGAGTTGGTGATCCAACTTCTCTTGCCAACTGCACTGTTGGACTTTGTTGCATTTTTTCCAATTCATCGCCTAACAAAATTATACCACAGGATATTTGTAACAAATACTTTTAAAGAATTTAACATATCTTTGACATTCAGAAAGAAGGGCTTAAGTAATACAAATAACATGACTTACGCCCTTTTAATTGAGAACCAAAGATAAAAGCTTGATCAAGTACCTATAATACAGTACACAGGAAATTAAGGGTCAGTAAGTTCACACTTGTTTGCATAATTTACAAATGTTTTAAACAAAAAAATTCATGTCTAAGAGATACAATACATAAAATATGAGAATATTCCTTTTCATGGAGTATAATTTTACACATCAGACTGAGGGTAGGAAAATTACAGCTGCATAATATTGAGAAACAGATAAACTGTAAGTGAAAAAAGCTCATTTCCCTAGGTATTTGCAACCAATATTTTGAACCAGCTGTGTAACCATTATATATCACCATATTTGACATACTTTCAAAGCACTACTTATTACTGTTAATGTAACAGAAGATATAATATAAACTCCTAGCCAGGCTGAATATATTAAGACACCCAACATGTAACACCACTGATGGTGGAGCTTTCAAAAAGATCTTTGACAGCTTTGAATTTCCAAGGTTGATCTAGAAGAAAACAGTCCATCTCAACATGAGGAACTGGAGAAGCAAAATATCAAAAGGTAAAAGCAAGCAGATACAATCCAACACGAGCAGCTACTGCTAACTAGAAAGATAGGAGAGGGTGAATGTGTAGATAGATGTTTTATAACCACCACTGCACTGCTTGTAAAACTACAGGTAGCCCTCGATTTGCGCCGATTCAGAATAATGCTGATTTTGAAACCAGTAAGTCAAAAAGTGAAAAAAAATATTTTAATAATATTTATAACGTTTTACAATGTATCTCACACTGATTCTTATACCAAATCGTAATTCTTACATCCCTGATTTTGAATAAAAATTATAAATACAGTCATCTCTGCAATTCCGTTAACGCGAATTTGCTCCAATGAGATCGATGAATCGGTAAAAGCTGTTTGTGAAATGCAAACTTTTGCATATGCGAGTTTGCTCTTATGCAATTTCATTCCTGGTGCTTTAAACTTTCAAAGGACTAATTTAATCTCTGCGGAGGTAATGGGGTTATTTTTACTACGCGATTTTCTATAAGTTGGCGTCTTACATGAATGCAACTATCGCATAACAGCAGAGATGACTGTACACATCAATCGCATGAAAGAATCGCAGTCAATCACGGGGACCAATGTATTGCTGATTGCAAGGGTTTAAAATATATTTTTAAATTCCCTTTATTTTATCTATGTTATTCAGATCTTTAAATGTAATGTCATTATATTACTCGTCGATGTTTGGATGCTGGGAACGCATGTCATTGACTTCCCATTGATTTACATTATAAAACAGTTTCAATTTACACTGATTCTGTTTACGCCGGTTTGTCCAGGAATGTATCCCCGGCGTAAATCGAGGGCTACCTGTATTTTTGAGTGAAGAAATGTATACTGATAAAACATGTGAAGTAAACTGGCATGTTTCTCTTTGCTATTGCATAGACTTAAACAATTTTATTGCGGAAAATGTTTCACTACAAACAACACTAAAACTGTTAAAGTGTTCTATTCAGTTCACCAATATCATTACCATATGCTCCCAATTGCTGCCGGATACCCTCCTCCATATCTTGATCATCTTCCAACAACACAGGTACTAAGGCATGAGGATGTTTACTAATGTCATTAGACAGTAAACCATCTGATAAACCATGTGATATCTGAAACATATGCAAATACAATGTGTTGCAAAATTCTTGTAGGCTGTCTTGATTGGCCTAGACTATGATAATTAAAAAAGCAGAAAATAAAGTTGTAAGTAAATTCAACTGGTACAAGATAAGATTTAGTGGCACTTTCCTGTAAACATGAACAGGTAATTTCTTGATGACCTGTGTGACCATCAGCTTCTCAACAAAAGCCCTGCTAAATGCAGTTAGTTCCCACAGGACTTACCTCTCTAGCTAATAATGGCTTATCAGTTTTATGGTGTTGCTGTATTTTCTGGTGTTTTTCATGTTGCTGAAGTAGGGGTGCAGTAGGTTTGAACTTCTTGACATCAGAAACTGGTATATCATCTTCATCTGAATCACTTAAGCCATATTTGGAGAAATGGTCAACCTTGCAAAAAAAAAAAATTCATAGGTGAAAAATTATTAAAACAAATGAAAGCATATGTATCACAGAAGAAATAATTCTGGCAATAAAGTTAAATATCAACAGATCTCAGTTTCCATCTTTCATACACACCTTGTTTCCCTCTTAAAAGGACTAAAAGTAATCCATTATCAAATGCATTATTCAATTATCAATTAAAGTCTACAATTTATATGATGCAAAACTTACCACCAGGTGTTTAAATAAATACTCAGCAAATAATATATCCCTAGATAACATTCAGGCCTACATGAAACTAACCACTACTGCATTTGGTACTAGATATTTCTTTTCCACCAGTCTCAACTGCAAAAGATTCTAAACAATGTTCATGCCAGCCTCCTGTTTTAAAAAGTGTAAATTGCTCAGCTGCCCAATTTATATTGGGAAGAATGAAATGGAATTACAAATTCATAACAAAGATGGAGAAGGCAAGACTAATTAACAGAACACCTATAAGGAACCACAAAAACAGAATGTGCACATGCACACACACAGAGTATAAACTTTCTTTGTAAGAAGTTGTAAGGGCATGTATGTAGTCAATGATAAAAACTTGCTATTTAAAATAAACATGAACACCTTGGGTACTCACTTTGAATACCCAGGAACCAGTCTGTGGCCGATACTCTAAGAAACGAGTCTTCAACTTGGCACAAACTCTACGTAGCTTTCCCTCATAATCCATCTGTTTCAGTCGCTCTGTATTAGTGATAGGGTTATGAGTCGTCTTATCCACTGGCCAAACTCGGTCTAAAGTCACTTGTGCTCGACGGTTCAGCCCACAACCCACTGGTGGCTTCTTTTCATCATCAGGGTACAACATAACTTCTTTGTAACGGAAGTGTACTGTAATAAAAAATAGGTATATTGTTAAATATAAAACAATCCATTCATATTTATATCCATGTAGAAACATTTAAATACACATTTCAATGAAATGTGAATGAAAGTTTCATTCAGTTAAAACGTAAAAATACCAAATCATGGTACGCGAAAGTGAAGATTGTTATGTAGTTATGAAACATGTCTCAAAGCTAATTATAATCTAATGACATCAAAAACCATAACTAAATTACATGTGAGAAAGGTAGTAACAGTAATAAAAATCCAACATTCACTGTTTTGGAAGTACAGTGAAACCTCGATGCATCGTTTTTGGCGGGGGTGGGAAATAAAAACGATGAATGCGGGAAAACGATAGATGCGGGAAAGCATTAAAAATTTAAAAAAAAACAATGTTTCTCTTTCAAAGTTACTTCTTTTTACCAAAAAAGTCTTTAATGG